GTGAACCAGTGGCTGGAAGACTGCTCTCTCTCTCTCTCTGCCTTTGAAATACATAAATCTTGTTTTGCACTCCATCTGCAATTTGTTCAAGCCGCGCATTTTCCACGAACTTTCTGAAGTCCCGTTGTACACTGGCTGTGCCCGGGGGCGGAGCCTCATTTGACTGATCCACTTTAAGTTGCTCGTGGCCCTTCCGGTGCAGGCCAGCTGGACGGGTGCCTGTTCCTTGGACACACCAGGGCTGTTCCTGGGCCCAGGCCTTGGCGCACACCCTCCCCTTCCTGACCCCAGATATCCGGCCTGAGTCCGGGCCAAGTCTTAGGAAGCACAAGGGCTGCCTCGGCCCAGGCGCTCGGCTGCAGGCAAGTGCAATTAGGTGAATCACCCACAGCCCCGGCCAAATCATCTCCTTCCAAGAACAACGGCCAGGCCCACAGCCCGGGCCTGCTCACACGAGCGTCCACCAAAGGGAAACCCAGCCTCATCACCGCCCAAACAGCTGCGGCGAGAGTCGCCATCAGGGTCTCTGGGACTTCCGGGCACAGGGGTCCCTGGGGCCGTAGTCCCTTGTGCGTCTCAGGGTGTGGACTGTTTCCCACGGGGGTGCCATCTCCCGAGCTAGCTTCCCTTTCACTCCCAAATCGCGGAGCTCCAGACCTGCACACAGCACACAAAGGATGCTCCTGGCTGCACCTCAAACACCCGAGTCCCCGCCTGCCCGCAGCTGAACCCTCCCCCCTCCTCCTGAGTTCCACCTCTCTGGGGGGCTCCGTCCCAGACCCTCAGGGCAGAAACCAGAACTATCCCTTCATCCTCACATGCACGCATCAGCCTGGGGATGTCTGTCCTGTCCTGGAGTTATCAATCTTCTAAAAAGTTATTTACTGAGAGAGAGAGAGAGAGATGCACACTCCCATCTTCCTGTTCACTCCCCAAATGCCCATGACGGCTGGGGCTCGACAGAGGCTAAAGCCAGGAACCAGAAGTCCCATCGAGGTCTCCCACATGGGTGGCAGGAACCAAACCACTTGAGCCATCATGGCCGCCTCCCGGGTCTCCATGAGTAGGACGTGGAGTCAGGAGCAGAGGTGGGCATCAGACCCAAGCCCTGCAGTACGGGACGCGGGCGTCTCGACCAGCGTCTTAGCTGGCAGGTCAGACTCCCCCTCCACTGCCAGTCGTTTTGCTCTGCTGCTTCTAAGCTCTTCTGGGCACACCTGTGGAGTTCTTCACTTCAGTTTTGTTCTCCGTTTCCTATTTGACTCTTGAAGAATGAATTCCAGATGATAAAACTTATCATTCCCTCTATTTTTGAATACGTACATATTTGTAAAGATTTCATTATTTATCTGAAAGGCAGATTTACAGAGAGACATAGGAGAGATCTTCCATCTACTGTTCACTCCCCAAATGGCCGCAATGACCGGGGCTGGGTCAGGCCAAAGCCAGGAGCCTGGAACTCCATCCAGGTCTCCCACATGGGTGTCAGGGGCCCAGGCACTTGGTCCATATTCTTCTGCCTCCCAAATGCATTAGCAGGGAGCTGGATCAGAAGTGGAACAGCCGGGACTCGAACCAGCACTCATACTGGATGCCGGCGTCTCAGGCAGCAGCCTTACCCACTGTGCCGACTCCAGTCCCCATGGTTTGTTTTGTTTTGTTTTAATATATTGATGATAAGTTCCCTGTCTAAGGACTCCAATACCTGAATCTCTAAGAGTCTGTTTCTATTGTTGGGGCTTCCTTTGGTTCCTGGTCAGCTGGTCCAAGGGTACCTTGTAAGTTTTGATTCAATGCGAGACATCACAGAGCAAATTTGTACTGGGCCTAAGTGATGCTGTCTTCTTCCAAAGAGGGTGGGGGGCTCTTCCCGTCAAGGACGTGATGTGGGGCCAAGCCATTTCAGTGTCCCTTCACCCCGAGTGAGGCCTCAGGAGGCCTGAGGGGTTCCCAGCCCTCCTGGCAGCCTCAGCCCAGCTCCCCCACAGTGCTGGCTTCCGGAAGCCTCGCTGTGACTTCCCAGGCAGTACTGTCTGCCGACTTCCCTGCGGGCTCACACTGCGCGTGTACAGCTTGCCAGCGACGGGAGGCACACAGGCAGCTTTGGGGGTCCCTGCCATTCCAGGATGTCACTTCTCGTCGTCAGCTCCAGCTCCTGACTTCTCAGTCTAGCGACTCTGTCTGTGTGGGCTCCGCTTCCCCTCCACGGCGGGGAACAGAAGAGCACTCGGGGACAAGGCGGGCTGTGGGGGGCACTCAGCCTCTCTGCCTCTCTTCCTTCAAACACCCCCAGTTCCTCCCTCCGTGTGCCGCTACCCAGGGGCTTCCAAGAACTGTCTGTCCGGTGTTTGTAGCTGTCCCCGGCAGAGAGATCGGTCTGGTACAAGTGCCTTCACCATGACTACAACTGCACGTCTGCAGCTGCCATCTCACCTGTCGCTCAGGCCTGCTCACCTGTCTTTGTGAGAGCGCTTACGCCAGCCCACGTCCCTCCCTCCCTCTGCTCGCCTGACCCTTAGGTCAGCTGCCCTCCTCTGCATCCAGACAACCTCGCCACCTGCAGCTTGGCTTCCCCTCTGCTATGTTGCCTCCCCTCCTGCTTTATGTTCTGAGGTGAGAATGATGTGTTAATAGTTTGTGATTGGGGCCTGTGATGTGGTGCGGTGGGTTAACACCCTGGCCTGAAGCGCCAGCATCCCTTATGGACGCTGGTTTGAGTCTCAGCTGCTGCACTTCCCATCCAGCTCTCTGCTATGGCCTGGGAAAGCAGTGGAAGATGGCCCAAGTGCTTGGGGCCCTGCACCCACGTGGGAGACACAGGAGAAGCTCCTGGCTCCTGGCTTCAGATCAGCACAGCTCCAGCCATTGTGGCCATCTGGGGAGTGAAGCAGCGGATGGAAGACCTCTCTCTGCCTCTGTCTCTGTCTCTGTCTCTCTCTCTCTCTCTGCCTTTCTCTTGGTCTACCTTTCAAATAAATCTTTAAAAACAATTTAAAAAAATTTTTTTGTGATCACGGGGCAAGCATCCCAGTTTAAGCCACTGCCTGCAGTGCGGGCATCCCATGTGAGTGCCGGTTCAAATCCTGGCTGCTCTGCCTCCAATCCAGCTCCCTGCTAATGCACCTGGGAAAGCTTCAGGTCCTTGGGCCCCTGCCACCCACGTGGGAGACGCAGATGGAGTCCCTGGCTCTTGGCTTTGGCCTGGCCCATCCGCAGCTGTTGCAATCATTTGGGGAGTGAACTGAGAGGTGGAAGATCTCTTTCTCCCTTTGTCTCTCCCTCTCTGTAACTCTGCCTTTCAAACACATAAATCCATCTTTTAAAATATTGTGAGCATGATTTCCCTGCTCAAAAGCCCTCCGTGGCCCCCAC